CCGAGGGAGGGAAACTCGGTGCCACTCTCACCAATGGACACAAACACGAACTTGCTCTTCCACCCATGAATGGACGTAGGCAAATCCGTGAAGCTCCTCTTCTTCGGCAGCTGCTGAAGAGTCGCGTAGGCCGCACAGTTCTTGTGGCTTCCTCGGCCTATCTGGTACAGATTCATAAATAATGCCGTTGTCGGCTTGTAGCCCAACTCCTCACACCGGAGCAAGAACCCCACCATCAAGGAGTAGCTGTTCGGCGTCAGCAAGGCCGGAGGAAGCCCTACCATGTCCAGGTACTCAGTAATGAAAGGGTGAAGAGGAAACCTCAACCCCTTAGCAAAACTCATCGGGTATACTCCAAAGTATCCCGGTGGTGGAAGAAGAACATGGTCCGCCGGCTTGGGCGCCCTAACCCGCCCGAACGGCCCCACGTACATCTGGACAACCAGATAGTCGGCCGCACTGCTCTCCGGCTTTATCAGGTAGACGTTGGTGAGATCCAAGTAGGAGACGCCGGGCCCACTCTTCGGCCTCCTCACTCTCTTCGGCTTGGCGGCTCCCTTAACGGCGGACACCGGCCTCGGGCACGGAATGACAGCAGAAGTGGACGCCCCGTCCACCACTCGGGACGCACCTATGTCCTCACCCTTTGAAGAGGAGGCGGACTCCTCGTCCTCGCCTTCCTCGTCCATCAGCTCCGCGGACTTGTATGGACTTAAACGCTCTATCTCCTCCTCAAACTCCTCGAGCACCTCGTAGTCAAGCGACCTCGTGGAGGGCTGGTCGTCGTAGGGGTAGTAGTCGTCGTTCAAGCTCTTCATTACTACTACTACGGGCTTAAGGAGAACTTACGATCTAAAGGTGTTTAAACGCCTAACACTAGATCAACTACTTACGGAGCAAAATATGAAAAGTGAGGAAGATCGTGATGAACACTAACCTCAAACAACGAAGAACACGAAGAACAGGCTTGGGAGTTTATCTCTCTAGAAAATCGGCCAGCACTTCGACAAATTCAGAATGCAAATGTGATTCTTCGTCGGAGGGGAAGGGGTATTTATAGACCCCCCCACCAACGGTCACTACACGTGGCACTCCCCCAATGGCCACATCAACGGCCACCACTGGGGGGCCACCACGTCACCGACGGGCCAGGACCAACCCATATCAACGGCCCACCGGCAAATCAGACCCTACGGCCTACACACGCTCAGCGGCTTTACAACTGCCAGCAAGCGCCCACAACGTCCCACTTGCTCACCAAGATCACAAATGCCAAACAATAAGCGGATGGCAACGGCCAGGAACGTAACGGCCACAGAACAAAGGGGACAAATAGCCCACAGCCTTCGGCTCCTCGTAATAACCCTCGATGATAACTCTCTACAAGCGATCTGCGCACAAGGGTTCTCCCACAGGGTTACCTTGGCCAGAAAATCGCCATGAGAGTTGGATTCAGGGGGACTACGGTGAGAACGCTTCGGCCAGGGACTCAAGCAACTCCTTCACCCCTCACACTCTTCGGCCTGAAGCAGTGGGGGACTGGGGGACTACACCGGCCTCAACAAAACAAAAAAGTGCGAACAAGGTAACCACAAAAACATGGCCACATCATCCATACGGCACAACGGAACTTCATCGGCCAAAGGCCCATAACGTTACTAGCAACGGCCAACAAGCCACTAGAGGCAAGGACACTCATCGTCCTCTGCTAACAGATAATCTTGACGGGCTCTTCGGCCAAAAACACGAAGGCCAACCAGCAACGGCCAAAAGGAGTGCGCAAACACCCTCATCGGCCACACAAAGGAAATGAGGCCATCGTCTTCAAAGCAAGGAATAACCTCAACGACTACACCGGCCCAAACATAAACTTCAACCACCAACGTCCAGGAAAGGGAAAGCGCGCCTTCAACGTCCACCATTGAAAGAAGGACACTCATCGTCCCAAAACAAATTAAGGAAACAACGGCCTCCTCGCCCACAGCGAGGAACAGGTAACGGCCAAAGCACAGAACAGGATCACTGAAGAGGAAACAACGCCAACGCCGCAACGGCTAACGGCCTGGAAATGCCCGCGCCGGCCAAAAGCAACAAAGCACAGAAATCTACTCTCCTTCACTTCGTCTACGACTCAGCTTAGAGAGTGGGGGACTCCTGATGGAGTATATGGGTCTGAGCCCCAGGACCCACATACTCGGAAGAACGGAGCACAAGACAACAGAGTGGCGCCCTCGTCGGCCATGACGCCCCCGTCGGCCGAAAAGGTGCCAACTCGGATTACGGTCCTGAGTCTAAGGGACTCGGGTGCCCTCGTCGTCCGCGCCCTCGTCGGCCGTGCCCTCGTCGGCCACGCCCTCGTCGGCCACGCCCTCGTCGACCTCGAAGACCTCCCAGAATCAAGTCCTATACTTACTCATTTGTACAGCCCATTAGAGGCTTTGTATTCGGCCCAATAGCGGTCCAGTTGTAAATGGGCCTCCCAATCCCAAGGCTTGGGAGCCCAACCCTAATTTTCTCTATAAATACTCCCCTTGGGAGTAGTTATAGGGGTGACAAATTCATTCTATTGAAGCATATTATTGCACTTCTCTCTCTAGCTCTCACCTCTCTCTAGAATCTAGGAGATATACTCTATCAAATAGTATTACCCACCACTATATAATTCAAATGTTTTTCAATTTGCTACTAGTATTTTAAATCATTCATTTAACACCATAAATTTACATTTTTTAAAGAAATGATGAATAACCATGATGTTAAAATATCTTTTTATATTAAGTTTGGGATATTTAAATTACATAGGAAAGTTCGGGGTCTTTATCTCACACTCCTTCAAAGTTTGGGGTATTTTAATTATTTTCCCCTGTTATGAACTTAAAAATTTACTATTCCTAGATATTACTCCCTCCGTCCCTCAATACTTTGCCATATTTGTCCGGCACAGGAAATAATAAAGTAAAAATTGTTTGGTTGAGATATGTGCAGAGGACAGAGAAATGACAGGAACCACAAATTCATTGATTAAAAGGGAAAGTGACAAAGTTTTTGGGACATCCAAAAAAGGAAAGATGGCAAAATTATAAGGGACGGAGGGAGTATCATTATACTTGGTACTCCCTTCGTTCCCATAACTGTCCCATTTTATTTTTTTCGTCTGTCCCATTAAGTTTGTCTCATACCATATTTGGTAATATTTGAGTGGTTAGGATGTTTTTACTTGGATTGTCATTCGTCCCAGACCAGACCAGACTAGACCAGACTAGTTCAGACCAGACCAGCCTTGGATAGTTATAAAAATACAAAGAAACCAGACCAGACCAGAGCAGTTCAGACCATACCAGTAAATTACAGTCCAACTAAAAACATCCTTAGAATTCGTTGTTACTTTATTCACACTTTATCAATTCAATATCAACCACACAATTCTATTTTTTCTTAAAAATCACACCACACCCCTTTGTCCCAAACTTAGAGGACGGAGGTAGTATTTTATAGTTTGAGGTGATTTCATAAATAGAAGTAAATAAAATTTAAATTGCAAAAGTACGATCATAAGTCTTAATTTCTGTAGTATCCTAGTCATATATGTCGTCTTCGCAAAGTGTTATATGGTCTCAAACAGGTTCTTATAGTTTGGTTTAATTGTTTCGGCAGTTCTTTTACTTCGACATGGATTCTTTCATGGTCAAGCAAATATTTCTATGTTTGTTTATTGTCATCATCGTCATATTATATATCTGTTACTATATGTGGATGACATTATCATTATACACTAGTAATTATATGTCATTTTTTTACTTAATTTAGTAATTCCCTGGCCCGAAAATGTGGATGACATTATCTGTTACTTAATTTATGTCATTTCTATGTCATTATACATTATCATTATACAATAGCCGGGGGATCGAAAATGACAAAAACTCGTGTATAGATAGAGAGTCTTATACAATTTTATCAATACATGACTTGAATATTAGTTCACAATCAATAAGAGGCTTGAAAGGTATGTTCTCTCGATATAGGGCCAGAGTCATCGAAAACTAGCAATCTACGACTTAAAATATCATGAGTTTTATTAAACGTAACTAGTAAATCTCTGTGAAGAAAAACTCATAAAAATTAGCAATAAAATAAAAAATGATGGTCCCTGTTAGAGGTGAAAGTATAGGGGGGGGGGGGGGGGGGGTGAATAGACTTTTAAAGTTTTTTAGACTTTAAAAAGTTTTCCCTGCTACATAGGTTGGTCTACAATATTCTGGAAGATTGTAGATGCACAATGGAAGTCTTAACCTCTATATAAGTATGAACTTTCTATCTTTGGGTAAAGATTTGACTTAAACAGTGAGCAGGTTACTTAGCATTTAGCTTGGCAGTTGGATGAAAAACAGGGAACTGCTGATATGATTAGCTATTTCTTATGTATTTCTTTTACCGGCTCATCGATTCGTGGCAGGGGCTTTGGATATGATTGTAGGGCAAAAGTGGCTTGGGTTGGGTGTCGGTTGTTGGGGCGGGATGGAATAGCGGCGGTACTGTAGAGGGTGGGGAGTGGCAGGTTGGGGAGCTTGATAGAGGGTTGGGACCGGGAAGATGGGGATGGTGGACTAGAGAGCTAGGGTGGGGGGGTTGGAGATCTAGGGATGGAGGACAATGAGCATGAGAGGGTTTTGGGACTGGGGGAGCTGGGGATAGGGGCTGGGAAGCCAGGGAATTGTATTTTGTAACATTCTAGTAATAGATTAAATATGTCGTCAGTAACACCGATTTAATACATTTTGTTAGTCTATGATAATTTGTTGTATTGGAAGACGTGCATGGTAATTTACCGATACTGTACCGTTACCGAACCGAAATTTCGGTATACCGAAATGCGATATATCGAAACTTCGATAAGGTAACGATATATAGATTTTGTATACCGAAAGTTTTGTTACGACAAATGTATGATAGAAAATATTCGATATAGCTTAACGAAACACCCTTAGAGATAAATATAGACCCAAAATTAATATTCGTATACCAACTCCAAAATTAATTTGAAAGGGATAGAGTACAATTGATAATGCGTAACAGCAAATTCTTGCCGGCCCAACCACCTAATAGAACCAGCCCATCTGCGACAATCCAAATTCCGTACGTTCTGATGCTTTTCCCGACGGCCTGTTCGCCGGCAACCCTCGTCAATAGTCTCTGCACATCCACACCTATGAATGGACGTAGATAGATAGAGAGAGTTCGTAGCTATCGTTCTAATGGCGGGTCCGTCGCTGATGGATACTATCTTCCAGAGATCCTTGGATGACTTGATTAAAGGAATCCGGCTATTCAGCGGCGGAGGCGGGGAATCGGGTTTTATTAACAAGTCCGTCGACGAGATCCGCCGCGAGATCAAGTCTACTGATCTTCAGACGAAGGCCACTGCACTTCAGAAGCTGACGTATCTCCATTCTCTCCACGGTGTCGACATGTCATGGGCGGCTTTCCACGCCATCGAGCTTTCTTCCTCGCAATCCTTCATGTACAAACGCATCGCGTACCTCGCCGCCACGCTTTCCTTCGACCCTTCCACCACTGACGTCATCCTTCTTCTTACTCATCAGCTCCGCAAGGACCTCTCCTCCTGTAATCATCAAGAGGTTAGTCTTGCCCTCCACGCCTTTTCTTCCATTTCCACTGTTGACTTGGCCCGTGATTTGACGCCTGAACTTTTCTCTTTACTCAATAGTAACAAAAATATCATAAGGAAGAAATGTATTGCCACAGTATTGAAAATATTCGACCTATACCCGGATTCAGTCAGAGTATGTTTCAAGAGATTGGTCGAAAATTTGGAGTGCTCTGATCCTGGTGTGGTGTCAGCAGTTGTGGGTGTTTTCTGCGAACTAGCTACCAAAGATCCTAAATCATATTTACCCTTGGCGCCTGAGTTTTATAAGATCTTAGTGGACTCTAGGAACAATTGGGTATTGATCAAGGTTTTGAAGATTTTTGCCAAGTTGGCACCTTTGGAGCCAAGGTTGGCCAAGAGGCTGGTGGATCCTATTTGTGAGCATTTGAGGAGGACAGGGGCTAAGTCTTTGGCTTTTGAGTGTATTAGGACTATCATGAGCAGTCTGAGTGAGTATGAAACTGCTGTGAAGCTTGCAATAGAGAAGTTAGCTGAATTTATGGCTGATGATGATCCGAATCTTAAGTATCTTGGACTGCAGGCGCTCACGACAGCTGTGCCTAAACATTCATGGGCAGTTTTGGAGAATAAGGAGTTTGTGATCAAATCTCTGAATGATGTTGATGTGAACATCAAGCTTGAGGCCTTAAGGCTGGTGATGGCAATGGTGTCTGAGGATAATGTGCCTGAAATTTGTAGGGTTTTGATAAACTATGCTCTGAAATCAGATCCTGAATTCTGTAACGAGATTCTAGGGTCCGTCTTGTCTACCTGTTCAAAAAATGTCTATGAGATCATTATTGATTTTGATTGGTATGTGTCACTTCTCGGGGAAATGGCAAGACTTCCACATTGTCAAAAGGGGGAAGAAATTGAAAACCAACTTGTAGATATTAGTATTAGGGTGAGAGATGCTAGACCACAGCTTGTTCATGTTGGGCGAGATCTGCTTATTGATCCTGCATTGCTTGGGAACCAATACATACACTTTATATTATCTGCTGCTGCTTGGGTGTCCGGTGAGTTTGTTCAGTTCTCAAAGAATCCACATGAACTTATTGAAGCATTGCTTCAACCGCGAACTAGTCTCCTACCACCTTCAATAAGAGCAGTGTATATCCAGTCTACACTCAAGGTGTTGACCTTTTGCATTGGTCACTATCTTTTCTCAGGTCAGCCTGTTTCTTCTGGAGTAACACATTTAATCCCGTTCGAGACCACAGATTCCAATTCACCCATTAGTAGTACTTCACCAACTGGAATTGAAACAAACGAGGAAATCAATCCATGGGCTTTATATTGGCCAGCTGTAGCTGGAGATGTTTCTAGAGAATCTATTATAAATCTTTTCAATCTTGTTGAAGCAGGTCTGCATCCATTAGTAGGGAGTCATGAGGTGGATGTACAAGAAAGAGTAAGAAACGTCATAGGATTTGTTGAATTGCTGCGTGATGAATTTCCTGGTTTCTTCGCCCAGAGGGAAAATGAAAATGGAATAGGAGGAGAACTAAAAGCTCATGAAATTATCAAACTGTTGCGTGATGCATTTTTGGAGGAACTAGTTCCTATTTCTGTGATTTCTCAGGAAAGGGTACCTTTACCCGATGGACTAGTTCTTAATGAGAATCTGAGAGACTTAGAAGCAATCTGTGGTGGTGGTGATATTGTGTTGCCCACATCAGGTTTATTTTCTTTTGGAAGACCATGTCATGTTGAAAAAAATGATATTCATGGTTATGTTAGCCAAGAGAACGAGGAATCTGAACCAATGATTGAGTCAACATCTCTACTTGCCGAGCATCGTAAGAGGCATGGGTTGTATTATTTACCTTCGCAGACTATGAAGGACACATTACCTGATGATGACTACCCTCCTGCTAATGATCCTATTATTGGAGGAGATACTGACAAGACTGAGGATCTTATCAAGCTAACAGAGCAATCTTTTATGCCAAAGAGGAAATCAAACCAAACGAAGCCTAGGCCTGTGGTGGTAAGATTGGATGATGTTGATGGATCAAATATTGTGCCCAAAAAGCTTGAGTCAAAGAATGATCTAATATCGGTTGCGGTTCGAGATGTTCTTAAAGGTGATGATGATTCTCTAGCATCTACATCACGGGGTATGAAACCTGAGAAGTTATTATCAAGAAAGAGAAGGGAGAAGCAATCAAACATAGATAAAACTTCTGGACTAACTGATGACTTGATGACTGCCAAGAGCACTGAGAATGTAGATTCTGTGAAGAGCAAGCACCATGGTCATGGTAAAGAGAAGAAAAGTAAAAATCCGGTCAAGAACAAATCCCGACTTCGACCAAATATAGCTACATCTATTGAAGCTCAATCATCTGTAATTCCTGATTATCTCTTGTAGCTTTGGAGGCTCAGACAAATAGAAACTTAAAGTTGTGATTTGAAGGTGAGCTCTGTACATCCATCAGCATACTCTTTTCTCTTGGTTCTCAATACATCTCTTTTGAGTAGGACTGGCATGTTTTTTTTTGTATCTTCATCATTATTAAGAAATGATATTTTGTGTCCATACGATCTAGCCTAAGTATTACAAAGAGCCAATAGTAACTTATCTGCACCAGGTCTTCCTTCCTTAACACATTGATTGATTCACACTTTAATAGTAATCTTTCACTAGTAGCCTAGTTTTCATTTTGCAATATATATATTGTTATTGCCCCTAGTATTTGTAACATGCTCCTCAAGTAGCAGGCTGTGTAGTTTAGTTATAATCAACAAGTTCTGTAAAAAGTTAGACATAAATTTGATACTAGTATATCGCAGTAGCAAAGGTGGGCGTGTATGGGCGTGCCTTCTTTCAATATCACTCACAAATCACTATCAGAACTGCCGCATCAGAAACTTCCAGAATACTGGAAGGAGATGCAAACGCCGCCGAAGGAAGAGTCAGTTCATACTTTCTTTGGGAAAAGACCCCAAAGAGAAAGGGATTGCACTCGGTCGAGAAAACGCATAAATGTACCAAATGAATATGGGAACCCAAAAGGATAAATTGATGGGGAATTAGCAGGGTATGGGGTCAAAATCAGTTGATGAAACTTTTGTGGCTTAACTCTCTTCAAATGAATTGATGGCTTTTTGTTTATGTTTGTCTTAAAATCTTATTATTAGCAACTGTCTAGTTATTTTACTGTGCTCCACAAATCAGCGGATATTTAAAATGGTCAATCAGTATTGAGAAATTTAACCAATAATTTGGAAAGTAATTTTTTAATTTTGTTCTTAGATTTTTTTCCCATTAATGTACGACAACCATCTCTTAGAAAAATATTACTTCAATTCCGTCGTTCCATTACTTTTGTTCCATCTTTTCTATATAGCCAATCTCACTTACGGAGTATATAAAAAAGGATAGAAAGAGATCAATCCTCTACACATATATTTTACCTCCATTTCAGTCTTTCAAAACACATACTCTTGTCCAATCCGAAATATTTTGGAATATTATTGGTGTTGTGTGATCTAATCGGCTTTAGGTGCGCTATGAACTGGTCTTGTTTGTTCAAAGCCGTCCTAGTACCTTGTTCGATCATGTTCAGTTCGATATGAACATATAAATAATTAAAACAAAAGGAAAAAAGAAAAAATGAATGAAAAAAGAAAGGAAATAAAAAAACAATAAAAAAAGAAAAAAAAACAAAGTTATTTGTCAATAGTTGGGTTATAGCCAGTACTTATCTTATTAATGAAGTACCAAAAATGTCTTTTAATTGATGCGTAATTTGATATAACAATATATCTGTGTCATGAACTATTGATATATATACGAGTATAAAAATGTGAATAACTATAAAATGACGGCAAAACTAGAATAGGACAGCACCTATGTGTTACAGTGTTAGGCGTCATCTTGTCGGGGGAGAATTGAAAATAATATACTTTGACCAATGCTATTATTATTGCATTCAGCACCATGCAAAAACGCGATGGAGCCGTTAGTATTGAAGTTGTCAAACCAAGTAATCAGATGAAACGCGCGAGGTAATTAAATATATTATTATATGCATGGTTCATATGCAACGGGAAGACCATTTCTCCAAAGGTTGGGACGAGGAAACCCTGTCCCTAATTTCCCCTAGAAATATGCACATCTTTTCTCTTCCTGTTTTTTCCCAGAGGAGTAATTTCAAATTCCGAAGATGAGAAGACAGTTTGGAGATTCGGCCACTTGGTATGTATAACAAATGCTAATGAGGAGTAATTAACGTTAATTAGTATTCACCATCATATCTCTTTCTCTCTAAATAAATCTTGGCCTCTGATCTCCTTCCTTCTGATGTCGTCTGTCATTAACATGCCTGCAACTTCTTCATCGTTGCCAAACAATTTCATCGGTAATTAATTGCATGCTTTAAACCATAGCTCAATTGATCGATTTCTGTATTTCATTTCTATCGTTTGTTCCTTGTTCTTTGATCGCGGTCGGATTCAGCATCAATTAATTATTTCTCTACCTTCCTAGCTAGCTTAATTAATTAGTTAAGTCACACTTATTAGCAAACACATAAATACAAAAGAATCATGAGATAAGGCCGGATCAAAAAGAGCTGAGCATCAAAGCCCCTTTCTTGAATTGGTGATCAATAAGAATCTTTGTATTCCTACCCTCACCCCCACCCCCACCCACAACACCATCCTACGTACATAGGATACATGTGATGTACCAACATTTTTCTCGACAAAAAATAAAAATAAAAAATAAAGTCCCCTCATCTTCTAGCTAGCTTAGCTCCATTTTGATCTTATTTCAATTTCCTCTACCGTGAAAATGAAGAATGAAAAAGCCCCATTAATGACATCAAATAAGCTCATGAATTCTCAAAGGAATATTCAGAACCTCATTCTCTATTTCCTATTTTTTGTCTCCGGTTTAGTCATTGGAATGTCCATAAGTTTTTACCTAAAAGCCCCTCCCTTCAACCTACAACTCAAGCTGTTCTCCGCCCACCCCCCACCACTGAAGCCGCCCGCGCCTCGAAAAATCACCAATGAACCCCTCTTTGACTTCCCTCAGCTGGACGCGACGACATTTTCGCAGTTGGAATCTCCACCGCCCCCGAAAAAACGGGCAGAATATAAACGGGTGGTGACAACGTCCGACTCGGCCACCGGGAAATCCAGCCTACAAGAATACCTTAAGCCGCCGCCGTGCATGCATGGGATGAGTGATGAGGAGCTGCTATGGAGAGCATCAGTCGTCCCAAGAGTGAAAAATGCGCCCTTTACTTACCGCCCCAAAGTTGCTTTCATGTTCTTGGCTAGAGGAAGCTTGCCATTGGCACCGCTTTGGGAGCAGTTCTTCAAAGGGCATGATGGTCTTTATTCCATCTATATTCATTCCCAGCCATCCTTCAATGGAGTTGCTCATGGAGAAGGTCCTATGTTTCACGGAAGAAGAATACCTAGTAAGGTAAGTCACTCATTTTGTTCCTTTACTATTTATTTTACTTTATTTTTGTCAATTTTAGAATCTTCATATCCCTCTTTTACATTAGGGCCCTTCAGTATAATATTATGGAAAAATCCTCTACAAGTAAATATATTTTGAAATTAAATTTCAAAACAAAGTTGTCACGTTTTTAGTCTCTAAACATGAATAATTACTATATAAAGCTTGAAAAAAAGTTTAAGTCTTGTAATGTCAAAACATGATTGCACTTGCTCCTATTTAAGATTTTGAAATTTACAAACATTTTTTTTTCTATTTAGAACGTACAATTGGCTTAATACTACGTATAATACATACATTTTCAAAGTAATATAAACCATTACCTAAAATAGGACCCATTCAAAGAAGATTTGTACTTTTAATAAATCAAATAAGTCATATTTTCAAAATAAAACATGACTAGTCCTATTTAAAGACTTCATTTATGTTTTAGTTCTATTTGAAATAACTTTATCAAAATCAAATAATCTATGATTCATTTCTTGACAGCATTAGTGTTAACAATAATTTTTAAAAAAATGCAACCTCCGGTTACCACCGCCAGATTCAGCCACCTCCACTCTTTAGTCTTTACTTTCCCGTCCTTGCTACAATCTCCGTTACGTTATTGATATGCCAACCCTAAAATGAATCAAATTGTCATTGAATTGCCTGAAAAATGAAATAATTTCATTGTTAAGTAGTTGTGACACGACGGATCGGAAGAACTATAGAGTTTTAGAACATACATAAACATATATAATAGTGTTTTGGTATATAGTTCAGGGAAATCATAAAATTAAACAGTACATTAATAATAATCTTGCTCATTAAATGAAAAGGGAAAGAAATAAGCTAAACCGGTCATCCACTTCATGCTCTTCAACTCATTATAACCTTTTTTAGAATATCAACTAATAATAACCTAATTATTTGGCCACTACTTTAATCCTATAATCCATTTTCATACAAAGTATTGTTCCGTGGGACGTTCAAAAAAGAAAACCAACAACTAACAAAAACAAAATTTTCACTAGTTTTGCGTTTTTGTATATTTTAAGTATTGTTTCCTTAAATTAATATAAATCGCATGCAGTGTGTAAAACTGTAAAACTAGACCTTATGTTACGTTTATCATATGGACAACAGTTGTAGGTGAACATTTTGTTACAATTTGGCCTTATGTTTGTCTATATATTTCGGTACAACATGGCCTAATAGAATGGAATTAGGAACGTTTCTCAAAGTAAGACTAAAAATAATATACTATCTCCGTTCTCTTTTAATTGCAACGTTGAACTTTTTGTACTATTCACGTATTCTACTTTGACTATATTTTCTTTATTAATGTATTATAAATTCAATTTTTAAAAAACTTTGTTAAATTCTTCTCACTTTAAATTTTCAAAATCCGATTTTTTGAATTTTTTACTAATAAAGAATGAAAGATATTAATGATTAAACTTGTGCGTTGACAAACCTGAAAAGTGGACTTTGCAATTAAAAAAGAACAGAGGAAGTAGTATATATGTCATATATCTTCTCAATATGTGAGTCATAATCATCCCCGAATTCATATTTCATATTATGAAATTATTATTACGCCATTTACGCGTTAATATGGCAGTATGGTTTCATGATGTCATTATTTACTCCACATTAATGTCTCGAATGTCTCGAAATTACATTATTTTTAGGCTTAATTATTAAAATAGGACTAAAAGTCACTCACTTTGCACAAATAGGACCAAAAACTAAACTATGTTTTCATAGGACTAATTATGTGTGTCTTGGACAAATATACCTTCTAGCTATTGAAATGTTTTAATTCATAATAAAATATAAAAAAATAATAAAAATTCGTAAAAAATACTAAAAAACTAATAAAAATATTTCGATAATAATAATTAATTAATTTATTTTTTTTCAAAAAATAAAAAAATTAAAAAAAAATTAAAAAAATAAAAAACTCAAAAAAATAAAATAAAATTCACCGCCGCCTCTGCCGCCTCTGCACCACCACCTCCAGTCACCGGGAAAAAAATGCCAAGTTCATTACGAATGCCATATTTATGACAGAAAATAATGAAAATGTTGGCATTCTCAAAGAGAAATATGCCATGTTTTTGGCATTTTCAGGAAAAATGGCATTTTTTTCACCGCCCGGAGATGGTGTTGCAGGGAGGTAGTT